TTCACGGTGTATAATTTACCTTTTCATCATTAATATAACTTCTTGTGAATTCATCTTCATTAAGATGTCGTTCATGACCTTGAGAAGCGCCGTTTCGGTACTATGAAACTTTCTTTAGGGATGACTGTAACTCAGGATATATAGAATTTGCCATCATTTGCTTTCTCAGACATTTTAGAGACAAATTGTAAGCTATTTACAGGTCTTGTCAGGGAGACAAAGTTGTTTTTCATATTAGAAACTAATACCATAGGAGCAGAGATACCATAGCGGGGGACGGACCAAGGAGAAACGGCTTAAAAATACAGGGAGGAAGGAAAAACAATAGAAATATAAAGAAATAATAAAAAGGCACCATAAGGAGGGGAAAAACTTATCATTATCAAATTCAATTAATATTTTATTACAGTCAAACAAGCTCGCGCGTTGACTAGAGTCGATTAATGATTTGAATTTTCGAATTTTGATTTCATTATTCAGTTGAAATTTACAACGTCGAAAAGGAAGATATGAAAATTCCAATCAACTTTAAATTCAATATACGACATTTTGATTGGTTAATCAGTGCTAACACAGCCGGAAGACCAAGAAAACATGTCGGCCAGAAATAGTCTTGTGTGCCGGGAAAGCTTTTACCTGATATTATTCGACAGGAAATTGTTCATCTCAGCAATAGCGGATTGTCCAATAAAGCAATTTCGCGACAACTGAAAATTTCTAGTTGGGGAGTCCAGAAAATACTTCAACATTATCGACGACATGGAACTGTGTCTCCATTTCGCTCAAGGCGGGAGCGTTCCCTACAAAATTACTGATGATGTCYTCCAAGTAATTGAGGCATGGAAATTACAAAACCTAGTGTGTGTGCTTATGAAATAAGATAGCGACCTCTGCTTGAAGGTATCTGTAATTTAGATGATTTACCTTCTTCATCACGAGTCGAATAATGAACTGAATTTTCATTTGAATATTGCAATATTGCATTATTCCAGTTCGTACGTATAAAAGGAATAATTGACTAATGATTTCATTAATCGAATCTAGGGGTCAACGCGTGAGCTTGTTTGACTGTAAGCCTTTTTTTGTTTACTGACGTAGAAGGGGCTGAAAACATTGGGAGAGGGTAAATGGCATGGAAAATAGGTAGGAAGAGTATTTAAATGCTTGTTTCTCTCTGCTCGTACCAAAATATTTACTCTTGAATAGCATATTCCCAATATAAATCAAAGCAAATTCTCACAGTTTAACGAACATAAAGCCACAGGGTTCCCACTAGAACACACATTTATTTCACAGTCTGGTATTGCATGTGTTACTGAAAGCTTACAAAAATCATACTGCTGTTTTCATCTAGCTGACTTATATCTCGGTGATCACGAAAAGTGTTGCAGGGTTAGGATATCGCGACAGTCCTCCTTTAGCCAATGTAACCCTCCCATTCTCGTCTGAAGCCAGATAGAGATCGTTTTTGCCACCGACTCCTGAACAGCGGAATCGAGTAAAGGCGTAGAACACCTCAGGTTCAAACTTGGTACCTGACGTATTAGGCGGTGAGGAAGCATCCACTTTCTAAACAACAATTAATTCAGTTAAGAATGTGAATTTGAAATAAGTTTCCCGTAACGATAACTTTAAGAAATTAAGGTACTAGGACTGGCTCAGAGTGAGAAAAACAAATCTTCAAATTTTTGTCAATCGGAATAGTTATTATATAGTTGTTATCGGAATAGTTTAATACGTTTTTCATGGATTTATGTTCATACTTCAGCGCAATACGAAATAAAAAAGCCAAAAAAACTTTGTATATATGGAAGCCATTTTGATTGAAATTTGAGAGAAATTATTACGACTTGACCTTTCCGAGTATGAATGTTGACAAACACGACTAGCGTTCTCGGAGATCACGCGACACGAATTACATGTGCTTTTTGTGAAAGAGAAAGAGGTGGTTGAAAGGAGTGTTTATATACTGAGAACAAGACAAAAGAAACCAATGAGAACAAGGTGGGCAAGAAAACAAAAGAAACAATCAAAATACAAAAGCGGGGGTTCCTCTTATACTACGACGAATGACTAGCGTCCGAAACGTCAGTAAGTTCTTTCATCTTTTCACGGTGTATAATTTACCCTTTTATCATTACTCTTTCATTAGGAACACCGACGTAGCTCATACTAGTTTTTAGCTAGTTATTTCTCCTTTTGTCTTTTGATTGTTTCTTTCGTTTCCTTGCTCGTTTCCTCTTTATATTTTTCATCAGGTCGGAGTAAGGTGTTCTTTTCTGGCCATTTTCATAGACAGTTCCAAAATGCTCACCTTAACGTTAATATCCTGGTTTTCTCCTATTCCAGTGATAACGTAAATGTTTGAAGGGGTATTGGGAACTTGTAACTCAAGACGAAATAGCCGATGAGTTGGAGCACTGACGTCTTTTACTTTGATATTATCAACTGTATTCGTGCAAATAAAACAAAGAAACTCCTTTAGTTTCAAATATTCCATCTCCTATTTTCTCCTCCTCAGTCCCCTTCTCGGACACACACGCACACTCACACTTTTTCCACACCTCACTTGAACCTAAGCTAATTGAGAATGAAATGGTTACCGTAAAATCCGGGTCATAAGCCCTGGGCTCACTCTTTCGTAATTTGTTTTTAATGGGCTTATAACTGGGCTTAATTATATTTGGGGTGGGGGGTGG